CCGCCCACCAACACACACTGACCCACAACAAGCCTGCCGTGTGGCCCGAACCACATTCACCAGCACGCTCTGTACTAGAATCACACATCCCTGCAGCACAGCCTTCACCATCCTACACGGCGCAGCAGTTACAATAGGACCTGCCTCTCGGCCCGCTGGCTGGCGGCACCCGCTGGACCACACTCTGGCGTCGGCTACGCCAAGGGCCTGGCACGTGTGAAAATATGCAGCACCTCGGGCCCTACCCCAGACCCGCTGAATCAGAACCCATACTGTAACCAGGTACCCAGGTGACTCATGTGTGCACAGCAGAGTTTAAGAAGCTCTGCTAAGCGACTCCAGGGCACCCGTAACACTGAACTGGGCAGCCACGGGCTGTGGGAACCACGGCCCATGATCCAAAGGGCAAGGATTCACGTGCTGCGTCACCGATCCTTCCCCACACTCTCCCCACATGTGCACAACCACGCGATGCCATGACTGATACAACTCAGCACTCAGATCGAGCCCTTTAGAAACATACACAACAACCTATGCATTTGAGATGCCCTTCTGCACATGAGAAAAACACCCCAGGTCCTAGTGTATATCCCTAAAGAATCCCTTATGTTCCTTTCTGCACAGAGCACCGCAGCCTCTTACCTTACAGCCGTTCATAGATTCCTTCATTTATTCAGTAAAAATTATTAAGTGCCTGCTCGGCTTTAAACCTTATGTTAAGTACCAGGAATCAACCTTGACAAAGACAGTCAGAACCCTTCAGTCCTAGTCAAGAAGACAGACATCACGCTGAACAAGCAATTACAATAAAGTGTGATGAGTTCGTTGATAGGACACTAGCAGAGAATCAATAAGAGCCTCCCTGAGGGGGTGATGTTCTCCTGATCTGACGAGGGGGAAAGAGCCAGCCACCAACAAGGATTGGAGGATGGAGGTGGACGTAGCGTGGGGAGGGGTGTGGACATCCCAGGTGGATGGCTGTGCCCGGACAGAGCTGGGAAGGGAAGATAGGCATGATTCCAGGGAGCAGCAGAGAGCCATCAGGGAAGCTTTAAGCAAGAGTGACACAGTCAGAGGCACATTTAAAAAAAAACCACTCAGGTATGTGAAAGAATGCATCAAAGCTAGTGTATCTCAGTAGTTATGGACAATACTCCACATACAGCTCCTTGCCATAACAGAAGATGGCAAACCCCGTCGATGAACCTCCAATAATAGCACCCTTCACTGATGTTTGAATATAATCCTCTGTTATTACCCCGTGGTGTTTTTTTTTTCCCTCCCGCTGCACTCTGCTTAATAGCATGCATGAATCAGGAACACTGACAGATACATGCATGCCTTTTAATAACCCACAAGGCACATGGCACTTGCACACACTTACCACGGGCCTTGGGGAGGGTGTGTGGAAGGGGAAATGTGAAATCCTCGAGTGGGAAGAAGACTGAAGGCCGGCACCCACCACTGAAAAGCATATGTGCAGGCTGAATTGGAAGAGGGGGTGGTGCATCCATTATTTTTATTTCTAATTCAATCTCAGGGAGCAAGGGCAGTCCGTTCCTGCTTCCCCTTAGAGCCGGTGGCTGAACATCTTGAAATATACAGTGCAGGGCAATCACTATACTTCGAAAGCTGCTGATCAGCCCACAAGAGGTGATTCAAGCCACTTGCTGGTTGGAAACCATTATCAAATACAGAACAGGCTGAGGGTCCCATTGACCTCTTATTAATTATTGTAGTCTTTTTATAACATCAGTGGTCAGAACAGCTACTTTTTCCTAAGTATCTTTATGAGCCAGGCACTGGCTAGATATTTTTATATTCATTATTGCTCAGCAGGAAGTTTCAAAATATTTACCCAGTCCGAATGGACTCCATTGTAAAGAACCAGTACTAACAGGAGCCAGTTAAATGTCAACCAGACTTTGAGTCATCACTACTCCCCTCAATTTTAAACTGAGCCCTTGGGCCACATACGACTTGTGGATGTGTTTACTTCGGCCTGAACTGGATTTAATTTTTAAAAATTTGTGGCTGATATATCAAAAACTAGTGAGCTCTCATCTAAAAATCTTGATGTAGATAAAGCATGCAGAGTCTATTTCCCCGCAGGGCAAACCTGGCTCTTAGAAGCCCAGAAAAAGGTAGTTGTTATTATGGATAATTAAAAAAGAAGATTATGATCATTAGTAATGGTCAACAGGACCCTGTGACTGTGCAGCTGGAGGTGAATGCCCTTGGGGCTTTGTAGCCAACTCGCCAGTCCTGCAGTCTGTCTGTGTCTCCAGCTACTCCCTCTCTCCTATTTATGTTACCTGCCTGGCCTCGGAGGCACCAGAGCCAGCGACCTATTCCAGGAAGGCACAACCCCTCACCCAGACTAGGTGAGAACCAATGTCTTCCCCTTAAAGAAATTTTCCTCCTTGCTATGTTCCCCCAGCCTCTGAGCTTTTAACACTGAACTCCACAGCACAAAACCTCAGCCTTGGGGCACATCAGATTCACCTGGGGGGCCCCACCCCCAGGGTTTCTCATTCATGGTTTCTGGGGAGGGGCCCGAGCACTTCATTCCTCAGATTCCCGGAAGATTCTGCTGCTCTGGAGACCACACTTTGAAAACCACTGCTCTACAACTAAAGAATGAACTCTACCCAGAATGGCACCGGTGCAATGCTGGTTGAGATAAGGACATTTGCATCTTTCCACCAGCCAAGTGGGGGGAAGGGTCCACATTTTGAGACATCACAATCAGCCCACGAAACCCCTATAAGTTTTGGGTCCCATCTCTGAGTTCCCAGTTTCCTGAACAGAGAACCTGTTCTTCTCTCCCAGACTGCCATTTTGGTCTTTTACCAAATGGTTCGTTAGAAGTGACAGTCCTGCCTAGGACATGCAGTGTCCCTCTGTGACGCCCAAGGCACCTATGGACATCATCTTTAGGAATAGCATCAGCTGGACTCGACACCGTTCTACCCCTCAAAGACCCTGCACCCCAGACATCAATCAATGTGTGACGTGGCTGACAACAATCATTATCAAGTCTCCAAGAGTGAGGACTGTGTGCCCGGCATGCACTGAGCGCTTTATGTGTCATAACGACTCTCTGATGCAGAGACCATTCACATCGCTGAATCACAGGTGATGAAACGGGGGCAAGCTTATCCAAGGTCACCAGCTCTAGAATAACCAAGAGATGTTTGTTGGACCCACTGTAGTCACTTAAGGGTCAGACACTATTAGAGATATTGTGCTCAATCCCGTGCCTGTATTTGAAGACGCATGTTGGTGACCTGGAAGACAAATGGCACATGCAGGTGATGTCATTTGGGACATGCTTGCAGGTGGAAGGTGTGCATGTATGTGTGTTTGGGGGGGGCAGGGGGTTCAACCTGGAAATCACAGGACTCGAGAGTATAAGACCAGCATCTGCAAATGTCTGAAGGATGCTCTGCAGAGAAAGAGGCTGTGGAGGACAGAATAGGCCAGAGGGATCGCAGCTCTGGGGAAGCTGATTAGACACCAACATGTAAGTTTGCCACAATTAAAAAGGCCGCAAGGTGGAACTGGCTCTCTCTAAATAACCTGGCTTCCTAACTCCAGGGAGTATCCAGAGAGACACAGGACGCATCAAGGATGCTGTAAAGCAGGGATGTTAATGGTGTGAGATGGCCCGGAAGGTGCAACACCGGGGAGATGTGAGAATCACCTGGGAGGCTTTGTTTGTTTGTTTGTTTAATTTTTTAATATGTTTTTATTTATTTTTGAGAGGAAGAGAGAGTACAAATAGGTGAGAGGCAGAGAGAGAGAGGGAGGCACAGAATCTGAAGCAGACTCCAGACTCCAGGCTCCGATCTGTCAGCACAGAGGCCAATGCGGGGCTCGAACTCAGAAACTGCGAGATCATGACCTGAGCCAAAGTCAGGGACTGAGCCACCCAGGCACACTACTGGGGAGGCTTTCCCTGTTCCCTCGCACATCGGCCGAGTGACCCTGGACAGAGCATGTAACCTCTCCGAGCCTCCATTTTCTCTTCCAAGACACTGAGTAAAGCACCTATGCAACAGGCTGTGGCAAGGATTTCATCAGATGCCACATGTAGAAGTGCATAATACGGTGCCCGGCACCTAATAAGTGGCCAAGAAATGAATAATGATATCATAATAACTACTGTTATCGTCATCGATCTTACAATTTCAGGTTTCAATGACAGTGTTTATGTGCACGTTTCAGCCTCAGTAGGCAGTTTCAGAGCTCATAGTAAAGTCACCGGGTCTCCGCTCTTCTTTGTCTAACAAAGAAGTATCCTGTCTGGGGAACTGCAGTCCGGATTAACTCAGGGTGAACTCCTCCTCCCCGTGTCTGACAATATGTCTGGCCGAGTCTCCGGGGATGGAAAATTCTCCCGTGGGCGCAGACTGTGGAAATGGGAGGCCTATATTCTTATACTATAGCCATTGCCTCACAGCTGTGTCTACACTCAGAGTCTCCAAGAGGCCTACGAGCAGGACGGCGTTTACTTTTATTCGATTTCGCCTCGGGTGGGAGGCGGTTGGTGGTGTTATCTTATTTACCGCCTCGGACTGTGTGTTTCAGAATTAAACTTAAATACCGTAACATGACCTTTCCAATGTCGTTTGAAGAGAAAATGATACAGTCGAACCAAGGAAAGAACCAGGGACTCTTTGTCACGGTCCAAAACCAGACCGTGCTCACCGAAAAGCCATCTCCAAAAAGTTGCCAGTGAAGACAGTCATAATAACTGAAACTACAAAGCACCAGCTCGTATCTAGCATCTCCCACATCTGCAGAGGCCGGGCTGTGCGAACGGAGATCTCCATGTTTGTACCCAGTGACTGTGTGCATTGACGGGAGCACTTACAGACAGATTTGAGAGGGGCATCGATGTCCACCCCTCAGAACACCGAGGGCACACACAATCGGGAGACGAGAGAGTATGTTATGCGTGTGAATCCAAGAGTCAGAGGGAACAGTTTACTTACGGCTTTTGGCTTATACGGGGGCTGAATCTCTTTGCGTTCAAGTTTCTCCCAATCAATATACCGGAAAAATGCATGCTCTTTTATATCACGTTCACCTTCAGGTCCACAACCCAGACGTTTGCCTGGGTGTTTGGTCATCAGCTTCAAGAGAAGAGAAAGGTTGAATTTAATGAACTTCGGAGAAGGACACGTGAGCTGCTCAGAAATGAGGAGTCCAATGAATTAGGGAAGAAAGGACAATGAGAGACTCAATTTTTATCTTCTCTTTTTCATTCCAACAATACTTTCCTAGAGAGGTCTTTATAATCAGAGGACCCAGTAACAGTGCCTGCCACTCCTTGTCCCAAAGCAAGATTGCTTATGGTTAATCAAAATTAAGCCCCAATGTGGCCCTGAACTTCAAGTTAGAAATGTCACACGATGCATTCTGATTTAAGAATGAGTTTTATGCAATTACTGGTGCATTTAATGAGGACAGTTTCAATATCTTCAAATGTCCCGCCTCCCACCTTGAGAAAGCTGGAGTGTGACCAAGGCAAAGGCCACATTCATTCTGATAATATTTGCATTTCTCAGTAAAGCACTTGTGAAAATGACAAAACAGAAGAAAAAATATTAGTCAAATGGACCCAAGTTTCAGTAATTACTTTCTGAAAGCTCATTAAATAGTCAAAAGCTAACCCAGCTCATTTTGCTTGTATCACACATTACACTAAACTCCACTGAGGTTTCTTTGGTGTTCCATTTAAATCACTTAATTATCAGAACCCTCCATCTTTGGGTCTCTGAGCCAGTGCTAAATAACAAGATGAATAGATGCTCCAAGATGAAACTAGACAGGCTTCCTCTTGTAAATGAATCCAAAGCAGCATGAAAATATGTCTGATCTCAATACTTGAGCAAAGGCACAGAGAGCAAAGATGGAGGAAACCCAACAAGAAGACCTCAAAGAGGAAAAACAAGCAATGGAACATACAAGACCAAGAAGCCTCCCAGAGTTGACCCGACACCATGATGTCAGAGTCCTTAGACTGTAGCAAAGAGATGAACCCAGCAATGTATAGCCTACCCTGTTGGACATTCAGCTTAGTCTGATTCCTGCTTCCAGATAACTTGTCATCAGAAACTATCCCCCTAAACACACACACACACACACACACACACACACACACACACACACACACACACAAGCACGTATTCTCCATATGTGCTATTCTCAGGGGGAAAATAAGTGGGAACTTCTAGTCTAGGCTTCTACCTGATTTGCATGTACCTGATTCCCACAATAACCCAGTGAGATGGGTTTATTATTTTTCCCATTTAAATGACCAGGCAATTGACATTCAAAGAGGTTAAGCAACTAGCAAGGACTTGGAGAGGTAAGAAGTGGCAGCACTGAGCTTGGATCTCACCTCTGCCTTCTCCAGAACTTGGGCCTTTATGTTATTTTTAAAAGTTTATTTATTTATTTTGAGGTGACAGGTGGGAAGGAGCAGAGAGAGAGAGAATCCCAAGCAGGCTCCGTGCTGTCAGAGCAGAGCCCTATACGGGGCTCAATCCCAAGAACCGTGAGATCATGACCAACTCAACCAACTGAACCACCCAGGCATTCCCAGAACTTGGGCTTTTAATAACAAAGCTCTTCGTATGTGGGCTCCCCAGGGATATTTGTGGTGTGGCTTGGCCAGGAAGGGCTTATTGAGGGCAAGCACATTGGGTCAAGCCCTAACAGCTCTGTAGGGTTAGGATAGGAGGAAAGGAAGGGCTATGAGGTTTAGGTTAGTACTACCAGTAATACTACCAATGATGGCCTCTGTGTACTGAGTACTTCCTGTGCACCCAGGATCCATGCTAAAGGCTTCCCAGCCATTACTCTTTCACCTTTATTTACACTTTACAACTATTATCATCCTTTTCCAGATAAGAAACCAGTCTAGAGAAGTAGTCATTTGCCCAGAGGCACACAGCTAAGTAGCAGAGCCATGCTTCCAGCAGATCCGCCCCATCCAGAGCTCTAGCTGCTCTTTTATGCATTCTGCTTGCTTTTGTGAGAACATGTGGCCAAAGGGGGCCTCTGTCTGCTTTAAGTTTGTTCAAAGTAGGAGTGCATTCTGAGCAAAGTTACACTAATTTTTTTTTCCTGGCAGAAAATAGGTCCTTTAACGGGAAGGATATATAAAGAAAGGACTTCAATGGGAATGGAACGTTTTTCAAAAGCCTAGCTCAATTTCCGTGTAAGGACAAGGATGGCCAAGCAAAGAAAAGCCACTGCAGAATCATCCAGCACTAATGTGAGTCTCTGCCCAGTTACTGCACTCAGAGCCGATATGCCTGAAGCCAGGCAGACAGCTGGGTTTAATCACTGTTCCCATCTCTGGTCACCTCCCAGATGCATCCCCTGGGGCCTGTGGTTCCGGAGGAAGTGTTTGCTGTTCGCTTGAGTGTCATCTCTTCTTTGGAGCCTCAACCTTGAAGAAAGAGCCCACACTGGACTCAGCCCACTCGATTCAGAAAGGTCCTTGAACCCAATAGTAAAAAGAAGTCACCCCAGTTAATCCTGAAGGTTATGAGTCCTAAATTAATAGAAATCTGCTCCACCAGGGAAACCGCTAATTGGAGCTGAAGCTGAATGCAGCTGACCTGGAAAATCCTCTCTCCTCCATGACCCACTTATAACCCCCAGCTGTCCCAGCAGGGAAGAGACGTGAAGGGGAATGTCTTGAGCATGTATTAAGCACCTACTATGCGCTGATACCACACAAGGAGCTTTCTCTTATGTTACCTGACTTAACGCTCTCAGACAACTCAATGATCAATGGGGGTTATTATTCCATTTTTAGAGATAAAGAAACAGAAGCTCACAGGTACAGAGTAGGAGCACACACCTAGGAAGTGGAAGGGTTGAGATTTGCAAAGGGTCTTGAGCTCCCAAATCCCCCACTTGAAACAATTCCTATGGCCGTGTCTGCATACTTAGATGCCAAGAAGGGCCTGGCATGTAATGTAGTAGTGCCGGCATTAGTAACAGTAATAATAATAATAATGGCCCATGGATTTTGGATCAGAATGCCAGGCTCTGTTTAAGTGATCCACTTGTATGAACTCATTTAGTCATCAAAGAATCCTGTATGGAGTACTATTATTATCCTCAATCCACAGATAAGGTTGAGGAACTTCCCTACAGCCATAGGGCAGCTGATGCCAAGACCAGGACTTGAACCCAGATGAAACTGGGCCAGATGGGGATTTCTGCAAATTGGAAAAGGCATGCCCTATCTAAAGGGGACATGGGCTGCCCATCCAGCTGGCTGGTGCTTTATAGGAAGGACGGACCAGCATGGCGGGATCAGATTTCTTAAGAGAAACTGGAAAGTTAATGTTTACAGGAAATCCCTTGCCCTTTAAATGGTGGCAATTATTACACAAACTAAAACTCAGTAGATGACCTCCACCCACTCTTCCTCCTCCACAACAAAATGTCTGTAGGGGGTCCGCCCTGGCCTTACACTGTGTCGTCTTCTTCTTTACAAGCCTCACTTAAGTTCCTAATGAACCTCTGGGTCTCTATTATCTGTTCATTTTCCCTCCCCTTGCCTCATGCTCTCAAAGAAAATATTTTCATGCAATTCACTTCAAGATGTTGGGGATTCAGACGAATTTGCACGTGGTTTCCCCAGGGGTATTTGCAGCGTAACCTATGCAGCTAAGATACAAGGCTCAGGTGATTGACCAAGAGTAAGAATCTAGGTGGTGTGACAAGGTGCTCTACCTGGAGAGGTTAGCCCAGCTAATACAAAGTGCCTGCGTTTTCCAGCTTTTCTGCGTCCACACAGCCCACCAGGCATTGACTGGGGCCAAGAAGAGTGGGGCTGGATTGTGCAGTGGGAAACCAGCAAATGCCCCAAGGATCTAAGACCGCCAGTCCTGGCTTATTCAGACACACAGGTGGGAACCCACTGGGAAGGCATGGCCATGCCCTAGCCTTGAAAATGGACCTGTCCTCTCAACTGGTGGGAGAGTGAATACTTCATAAAGGCAGGATCCATGGGCCATATTCTCTGCGGCTTTCATAGTGTTTTCACACTTCCATCAGAGCTGAAATGTTCCCACATTTGGGTAATGGGTTGAAAAGCAGTGATTTTCAAGCCACAAGGGGATTTTTGCAGACTTTTACAGATGTTCAGACAATCTCTGGGGTGAGATTGAGGTTATGTACAATCTGGAGAAGCACTTCAGGTCATCCTGATGGCACCAAGGTGAGGACCAAGGATCTCCAGGGACTCACCCAGGTCACTGGGAGCACAGTTGGCCTAATGCCAGATATATAACAAAGCAATCTTCACCAGCACACGTGTGCCCGCCCTCTTCACAGGTGCAGTCTGCATACATATAAAACGTGAATGCTTTTCGGCCCTTTGTGGGTTGGGTGAGGGAAGACAGGGGTTTTGAAGACACAACATTTGGGTCAGCGTATCCAGAGAATCCCTTAAACTAAATATTACATGATACATTGTTAAGACAAAAGTTCCACGCTGTTGGTATTAACCACACACACACACACAAACACACACACACACACACACGCACACACACACACACACAGAGCAGGGCAAGGCTGACAGATCCGTGCCGCAGACCTCTTGCACACCTTCCCATGGGTCCCAGCTCTTTGGCAGAGTCTCTGTGCTTCCTATCTCATTCACTCAGTATGCATTCCCCCGTGCGGGCTACAGCCTGGAGCCTGGCCAGCAGCAAGACAGTGTTGCAGGCAGACCTCTCTGGTACATTTGTGCAGGCTGGGAAAAAACCTCCCTTTGCTCCGGGAGGTCCATGCCAGGCTCACAGACCAGCAAGGAGAGTTCGGTCTCCATTCCCCCTGTCTCCCTGGGTGAGGCGTCCTTCTGCAGGGTCCTGGGGCTCACTCACCCCTTTGCAGATGGCCACAGCTTCCTTGGACATGGACTTTGGGTAAGCCACGTTGTGTTCCATGATGGACTGGAAGAGCTCGTCCTCATCCTCCCCTTCAAAGGGTGCCTGTGGAGCAGAGGATAGTGTGGGAAGAGAGGGGTTCTGCCTGACCCTCCCCCACTGCCCCAAACCATTGGGCCCTTTTCCTTGGGGTCCACAGTGAGGCCACACTCAGGGGCTTCAAGGGCCAGGGTAACCAGCCAAGGAAGTCCTAGGGGTCCCAATCTATGAGCTGGTATCAATCGGACATCTCTGTATAGAGAAACCATGCTGATGGGGTTGGGGAAGGACTTTTCTTACCAGTCATTTAAAATTCAATTACCTGCCCAGCCAACATTTCATATAGCAGGACTCCAAATGCCCACCAATCCACAGACTTCCCATAGGGCTGATAAGCAATAATCTGGAAAACAGAAGGCATTCCATCAGCGAGGCGGGCAGCTTCTTGTCATGACTGGAGACTGAATACTCACTTCTTTAATGTAAGAGTGGAGCATCTTGGGGCTGGGAGGAGGAGGCAGAGCTTTTCCTTTGCCTGTCATCTGCCTACTGTGAAGGATTAAATTGGCTGTTACAGTCCCAGATATGAGCCACTGTCTAAAAGAGTGACTAAGGAGCCTAGTGCCCACTCAAGCTATTTCTTTACCTTAGGAAGATGGATAGATGTCATTTACAAAGGTACCTGCAGGTTGGGAAAACATCTATGGGTGTCACATTGCCTTTTCAAAGATAGTACAGTGTGTTAATTTTATTTATTTATTTTTTTTGAGAGAGAGAGAGTAAAAGAGAGGAGGGGAGGGGCAGAGAGAGAGAGGGAGAGTAAGAATCCCAAGCAGGCTCTGAGCTGTCAGTGCAAAGCCTGATGCTGGGATCGGTCTTACCAACCGTGAGACCATGAAAGAAGCCAAAATCAAGAGTCAGATGCTAACTGACTGAGCCACCCAGGTGCACCCCAACCCAGTGTGTTATTTTTTCATTTTAATACAGTGAGTGGCATTTTTAAGAAGGAAAATGGTGTTTGTTTCTCATTACAAAAGTAATAACATTTACACAACAATGGAAATACACTTAACACTATTGAACTGTGTTCGTAGAAAAGATCTAGGCAGAAATAGACCAAAGTGCTATCATAATTTTTCTCTTGATAAATGACTATGGGTGATTCTAATTATATTCTCTTAGCTTAACTACTACTACTACTGGGTACTGTGCATTACTACTACTGAACTGAACCTTAGAAATGGTTAAGATGGTGAATTTTATATTTTTTACCGCAATTAAAAAATTTTAAGTTAAAATAGCATTCTTATTATTGTACTATTTATTTTAAAACATAGATAAGCCTGGGTGGCTTAGTCGGTTAAGCGTCCGACTTTCGCTTGGGTCATGATCTCGCGGTTCGTGGGTTCGAGCCCCGTGTCGGGCTCTGTGCTGACTGCCAGCTTTGAGCCTGGAGCCTTTTTCAGAGTCTGTGTCTCCCTCTCTCTCTGACCCTCCCCTGCTCACGCTGTCTCTCTTTCTCTCCTAGAAATAAATAAAAATATTGAAAAAAAAGACATAGATAAGCAAATAAATAAAAAACAAAAATATAGACAAGTTAAGAGAATACAATTAGTATCATCCATAAGCATTTATCAAGAGAAAAATTATGGTGACCCTTTGGTCTATTTCATCCTAGATTCTTTTCCATGAATACATAGTAAGCTCAGTGTGTATATATGTGTTTTACCTACACACACACACTTTAATATGTGGAATTTTAATGAAGTATTTTATTCAGTTAAAATTTCCATGCAGTAGTAGTTGCATGTCGATGTAATCAGTTTTTATCTCCGCACAGCATTCCCCTGGATAGCTATACCAAAATTTATGTTGCTTGTTCCCAAGGTCAGATTTCTTCTGATGCTATAATATAGATCCTTGTAATTGGATATTTGGACATTTGTCCAATTATTTCCTTAAGATAAATTCGTAGAAATAGAATTGGTGGATCAAATAGGATGTACGGTTTTTAAAAATTATTTTACTTTATTTATTTTATCTTCATCTTAATCCCCTTCCCCTATTTCCCCCGTAGCCTCCCATACCACCTCATGTCTGGTAACCATCAGTGAGTTCTCTACAGTTAAGAGTCTGTTTGTTGGTTTGTCTGTTTCTTTCTTTCTCTCCTTTCCCTTTATTCATTTGTTTTAGTTCTTAAATTCCACATATGAGTGAGATTGTGTGGTATTTGTCTTTTCTCTGACTGACTTATTTCACTTAGCATTATATCCTCTGGATCCATCCATCCATGTCGTTGCAAATGGCAAGATGTCACTTTTTTATATTCATATATTCATTATATCCACATATTCATATATATTCATTCCACACCTTCTTTATCCATTCATCTATCGATGGACACTTGGGCTGCATCCTTAGTTTGCCTATTGTAAATAATGCTGCAATAAACACAGAGGCGCATGTGTCCCTTTGAATTAGTGTTTTTGTGTTTTTTTTGAGTAAATTCCCAGTAGTGAAATTACTATATCATACAATAGTTCTATTTTTAATTTTTTGTGAAACCTCCAAAGTGTTTTAGTGGCTGCACCAATTTACATTCCCACCAACAGCGCAAGAGGATTCCCCTTTCTCCACATCCTCGCCAGCACTTGTTTCTTGTGTTTTCGCTTTTAGCCATTCTGACAGGTGAGAGTGATCTCTCATTGTTTTGGTTTGCATTTCCCTGATGATAAGTGATGCTGAGCATCTTTTCATGTGTCTGTGGGCCATCTGGATGTCTTCTTTGGAGAAATGTCTGTTCGTGCCTTCTGCAATGATATATATATTGTTTTAAGGTTTTTGATACTTAGTACCAAATTGCTAGAGCATGGCAAAGTCTAGAATATCTCTGTGACCATCTGTCTTTCAATATACAGGGGTATAAAACTATATCAAAGGGTTGCAAAGGTGATACAGTAAAGGTTCAGGGTCAGTTCTGACATTGACTTCAGACTGCTACTTCTGAGCTGTGTGGCCCTGGGGAAGGTTACTTAACTTCCTGATGTCTCAGTTTCCTCACTTTCAAAAGGAATTTTATAATATCTAGATCACAGGGTTTTGCGAGGAAGAGAGATACATGCCTCTCACACATTATATCCTTCAAATGTTAGCTGTAAGTAGAAGGTTTTCTCAGTCAGCGATTGTTTTACCCAATGAATGTGTCTGAGCGAACTTGGCTCTAAAACGAATGTCCGCTTTATTGAACTCCATCTTCTACCTAAAATCTTCTACCCTAAAATCAGAAACGCTCTCTAAGGAGAATTAGCAGCAAGAGACTGAAGGGAAGGCTTTCTGTGAGAACACTTACTGAAAGTGTTTTCACACTTTTAAAGTACTTCATGTCTTATTTGATCCTCATGACAACCTAACAAGTTAATCCTTTCACAAAGGAAAATAGAGCCTGGGAGGTGAAAGAAGTTGCCAGAAGGTGATGTGGTTATTAGTTAATGGCAAAGCTGGGGCAAAAGCCTTTCCCCCAGCTTATTCCTCCCATCAGTGGACTGGAGGAGGGATGGACTTCCCCGGGAACGCAGCTCCAGGCATCTCGTGTATCAGAACCACCCGGGAAATCTGGAAAAATCACAGATATGTGGGTCCTTCCTGTAGCGATTCTGATTCAGTTGAGGGTAACACCTGGGCAGGCTACATTTGAAGGGCTCCCCGGGGACCCTGAAGTGCAATGAGTTTCGAGCCAGAGATGACTGAACTCATGGTAGGTCAAGGACTTGTCTGATGCCCTAACTATTTAACAAAATGATGATGAAAGGAGATACGGCTCATTGGGAAAACACCCCTGGGCTCTAACACAGGTGTCCCCTGCTTTCTGAAAATTCGTGTTATCCCACTTTGCTTTTACGGAAGACCTACAATACTATCTGCTTTCGTTAACCAAAAGAAATCTGAACAGGACTTTTGCTTTTATGATAAAGGCAAAAAGCAAAACTAGAGTTCAGCGTTTGGTTTGCAGTGAGCCATTACACAAGCAGTGAGAGTGGTACCGCCAAGCTTCTACCCAGGAATGACATCCGGCATCAAGCAGCCATAGCTTTGAATTGTGTGAGCATACAGGCTTGATCTCGATTTATTTTATTTTTCTTAAAATGTTTTTTTTTTTTTTTTTTGAGAGAAAGAGAGTGCGAGCAGAGGAGAGGCAGAGAGAAAGGGAGACAGAAGATCCAAAGTGGGGTCTACTCTGACAGCAGCAAGCCTGAAGTGGGGCTTGGACTCAGAAACTGTGAGATCATGACTTGAGCAGAAGTTGGACACTCAACTGACTGAGCCAGGTACCCCTTGACCTTAATTAATTTTATATATCCACTAGCCAGATGTGTGCTAATGCATCAGAAGAGGCGAAGAGAAGTTATTTTTTGGGTTTCAAAACATTAAGAAGCTTTTTCCATATAAAATTGCTATGCTATAAAAATACTTCTTAATTTCAAGCCATTTTGGCTTAGAAAAGGTTTCACAGGAATGTTCTACTTTTAATAGAAGGGGAAATGTAAAAAGGATTATTTTAAAAGATTACTTTTAATCATTCAAGTAATACATGAATGTATTTACCTTGTGAAAAATTTAAACAGTATACGGATTGGACTAAATTTCTCTTTACTGTGCCCTTATCCTCAGAGGTGACCAATGTCATAAAATCAGTCTGTAATCTTCCAGATTTTCTATGTTTTTACGTGAATTTTTACATACTCATAAGAAGCATATAGCAGTCTTCTGTGTATTGTTCTTGTTTTCCATACATGGTATCATATTGTATTTAACATTCTGCACCTTGATTTCCCTCCCCCTGCCCCCAGTTTTATTGAGAAATAATTGGCACACATCACTGTGTAAGTTTAAGGAAAACAGCATGATGGTTTGATTTATACATATTGTGAAATGATTAAAATAAGTTCAGCTAACATCTACCTTCTCATATAGATACAATAAAAAGAAATGAAAGAAAAAAAAGGAAAAAAGTTTTCTCCCTTGTGATGAGAACTCTTGGTATTTATTCTCTGAACTTTCCTACATATCACACAGAAGTATTTGCTACAGGCATCATGGGTACATTACATCCTAAATAATCTTCTGACTAGAAGTTTGTTCCTTTTGACCACCTTCCCATATTCCCCCTCCCCATCTTCCACCTTTGGTAACCACAAGTCTGATCTCATTTTCTGTGAGTTTGGTTTTCTTTTTTAAAGATTCTACACATAAGTGATATGGTACAGTATTTGCCTTTCTCTGTCTGACTTATTTTACTTAGCATAATGCCTTCAAGGTGCATCTGTTGTTGAATGGTAGGATTTCCTTGTTTCCTATGGCTGAATAATAGTCCATTGCATATATATATAAATAAACACACCACACCTTCTCTATCCATTCATCCACTGGGGGACACTTAGGTTGTTTCCATGCCTTGTAAATAATGTCGCTATAAAGATGTGAGTGTAGATCTTTTTGAGTTAGTGTGTTTTTTTCCCCCTTGGATATATTCCCAGAAGTGGAATTCCTGGGTCGTACGGTAGTTCTATTTTTAATTTTTTGAAGATCCTCCACACTGTTTTCCACAGTGGCTGCATCAATTTACATTCCCACCAGTAGTGTAGAGGGTTCCCTTTTCTCCATACCCTTGCCAGTTCTCTCTTGTCTGTTTCATGATGGCCATTCTAACAGGTGTAAGGTGACAATCTCATTGTGGTTTTAATTTGCATTTCCCTAGTGATGAGTGATGTCGAGTATCTTTTCCTGTACCTGTTGGCCTTTCGTTTGTTTTCTTTGGAGAAATGTCTATTTGGGTCCTTTGCCCATTTTTTAAATTGGGTTATTTGTTTTGTTTCATTTCTGCTATTTAGTTGTAGGAGTTCCTTATATATTTTGGATATTGACCCCTTATCAGATATGTGGTTTGCAAAAATATTTCCCCCCATTCTCTAGGTTCTCTTCTCACTTTGTTAGTGTTTTGTCTTTTTTTTTTTTCTGTGCATAACCTTTTTAGTTTGAGGTCAGACTTGTTTTGATTTTATTGCTTGTACATTAGGTGTCATATCCAAAAAATCACTAATGAGGCCCATATTGAGGAGCTTTGTTTCTACGTTTTCTTCTAGAAGTTTCATGGCTTCAGGTCTTACGCTTAAGTTATTAATCCTTTTTGAGTTAATTTCTGCGAGTGGTGTAAGATATGGGTCCACTCTCATTCTTTTTTTTTTCTTTTTAATTTTTTTGTAATATTTATTTATTTGAGAGAGAGAGAGAATACGAAGGGGAGGGGCAGAGAGAGAGAGAAAAGAGAGAGAGGAAGACACAGAATCTGAAGCAGGCTCCAAGCCCTGAGCTGTCAGCACAGAGCCTGACATGGGGCTTGAACTCATGAACTGTGAGATCATGACCTGAGCCAAAGTTGGATGCTCAACCAACTGAGCCATCCAGGCACCCCTCATTCTTTTACATATGAATACCCAATTATCTCAGCACCATTTATTAAAGAGACTGTCTTCTGCATTAAGTATTTGTTAAGCATTAGTTGGTTATATATTGTTAAGTTTTGTTCTGGGCTCTCATTTCTGTTCCATTCTACTTACCTATTTTTATGCCAGTACCATATTGTTTTGATAACTGTAGCTTTACAGTATAGCTTCAAATCAGGAAGTGCAATGCCTCCTGCTTTGTACTTCTTTCTCATTTCTTTAGCTATTTGGGGTCTTTGTGCTTCCATATAAGTTTGAGGAGTGTTTTTTGTACTTCTTTAAAAAATGAAGTTGAAATCTTGATAGAGATTGTATTGAGTTGATGGATAGCTTTTGGTAGTACTGATATTTTAACAATATTAATTCTTCTAATCCATGAACATGGGATGTCTTTCCATTTATTTGTATCTTCAATTTCTTTCAGTAACATCTTGTAGGTTTCAGAGTAGAAATACTTCACCTTCTTAGTTAAATTTATTCCTAAGTATTTTATTGTTGTTGATGCTCTTGCAAATGAGATCCATTTCTTTATTTAATTTTCAGAAAATTCATTGTTAGTGGATAGAAATGCTACTGATTTTGTATACTAATTTTATATCTTTACTAAATTCATTGATTCTCTTCTAACAGTTTCGGTTGAGTGTTTAGGCTCTTCTACATATAAAATCATGTTATATGCAAATAGAGACCATTTTTACTGCTTCTTTTCCAATTCTGATATTTCTTTTTCTTGCCTGGTTGCTCTAGCTAGGACTTCTAGCACTATGTTGCATAAGAGTAGTGAAAATGGACACTTTTGTTATATTCCTGCTTTTTCTGCATCTATTGAAATGATATGATTCTCTTCTTTTATTCTATTAATGTGATGTATTACAATGATTGATTTGCACATGCTGAGTCATCTTTGCATCCCAGGGATATATCCCACTTGATCAATCATAGTGAATGGTCCTTTTAATGTGCTCCTGAATGCAGTCTGTTAGTATTTTACTATGAGTTTTTGTATCTGTATTCATCAGGGATATTGGTCTGTAGTTTTCTTTTCTAGTAGTGTTCTTTCTGTTATTGGTATTAGAATAATGCTGATCTAAAATAACTTGTGAGTCTTCCCTCCTCTTTGATTTTTCAGAAAAATCTAAGAAAGATTGATGTTAATTCTTCTTAAAATGCTTGGTAAAATTCCCTAGTGAAGCCATCTAGTCCTGGGTTTTTCTTTATTGGGAGATTTTTGATTATAAATTCAATCTCTTTACTAGTAATTGGTCTATTCAGATTTTCTATTTCTTCCTGATTCAGTCTTGGTAAGTTGCATGTTTCTAAAATTATTCCATTTCTTCTAAGCTGTCCAGCTTGTTGGCATATAGTTGTTCACTGTACCTTGATTTTTTTCTCATAACAATATGTCTGAAAGATCTTTCCATATCTACATATGTATCTAACTCACTCTTTTTTAAAAAAATTTTATAATGTTAATTTATTTTTGAGAGAGAACACGTTAGCAAGGGAGGGGCAGAGAGAAAGGGAGACACAGAATCTGAAGCAGGCTCCAGGCTCTGAGCTGTCAGCACAGAGCCTAATGCGGGGCCTGAACCCATGAACCATGAGATCTTGACCTGAGCAGAAGTCGGACGCTTAACCAACTGAGCCACCCAGGTGCCCCTAACTAGCTCGTCTGAATTGAATTGATGTAGTATTCCCCTAACTAGCTCATCTGAATTGAATTGATGTGGTATTCCATACTATAAATAATTCAGTCTTTTGCTCACTCCTGGATTGATAGACATTGTTCAAGTTAGTATATAGAGATGTACTCTGATCTTTAGAAGAGCTGCTTGATAATTCTTAATGTGAATGTAATATATTTTAGTTAACCATTCCTTTATTGATAGTCATTGAGGTTATTTCCTATTTTTCATTATTTATAAATAGCACTGTAATGAAGAAAGGACTTTGAACACGTATCCTATCAGCTGCATGTGTATATGTGTGAACTGCAAGCTTAGTTCCTAGAAGAGGACCTGCTTTGATAAGAATATGCAGGTTTTAAATTTTGAACCAGATATTTAATTCCATGGGACCTCCCATCACCATTGTTCCATATAAGCGACCGTCAAGAAAGGAATTCTAGAATACCCATTTCCAAGGCTCTGTGTCACATCCTTAGTTCCTTTCCTTAAAAATCTAGTAACAGATTGCAAAATGCCACTTCTCTGAGCACCAATTCAGAGAAAAAGGAAGGCTATCATCTGGCACAGATTCTGTACCATGCCATGTTGGGGAAATCCATTCTGCAACTGACCGTTTCCTTTGGGAAGGGAGGGGGAGGCACTAGAATTAAATCTTTTCCCTTTCATTTATATCTTACTCACAGCAAGGAAAATTCTGAGTCTCTCAGGGTTTAGTTATCAGTACACAGATCTTGTGTCATATGTCAGCCCAGGAAAGCCCTCTCTGTCTGTCTCTCTCTCTTTCCCCCCTCTTAACAAATGTTTCAATGTCATAATTAGGCAGTATCATATGGCCATGAGCCATCGCAGCTTGAAGAATTTTACTGATGTGCAGTGGATGGTTCTTTTTGAGTTTTATTTAAATTTTCCACCAAACCTTGATGTATTTTGGGCCTGAGCTTCTGGATGTGTGCTAAGTTAATTTGCATGTGTGATCTCAAAGGAATGAGTTAGAGTATAGGAGAAGGACCAGCCTGAGGATTGCTTGCCAGGTACCCCCTGAACCTTTCCCAGTTCTGCCATGGCCACCCAGGGTACAGAGGAGACATCAATGCCATGTGGATGTGTTTGGGGTCCCATCCGCTCTCACCTCAGGGGCGATGTAGTCTGGGGTGCCACAGAATGTCTTGGTGGTCACCCCATCCCAGATGTTCTCTTTACACATGCCAAAATCAGCAATCTTGATGTGGCCCTCTGAATCCAGCATCACATTGTCAAGTTTGAGGTCACTGCAGCAGACATAAGAATTTAAAGATTTAATAAATGCTATTTATTTCAAGTCAACCAACAACCACCCATGCTGTGCAAAACACCATGCTAGGTTTTGGGGACAATAGTGGATATAAACCAGTCCTCGCCCCCCAGTAGCTTATAATATGGCAGATAAAGAAGGGTCTACACACTTGTGTGTTTTTCTTTTTCTTTTAAAAAATTTTTTTAATGTTTTTTTTTTAATTTATTTATTTCTAGGAGAAAGAGAGAGAGAGAGACAGTGTGAGCAGGAGAGGGTCAGAGAGAGAGGGAATCACAGACTGAAACAGGCTCCAGGCTCTGAGCTGGCAGTCAGCACAGAGCCCGACGCGGGGCTGAAACCCACAAACTGCGAGATCATGACCTGAGCGAAAGTCGGACGCTTAACCGACTAAGCCACCCAGGTGCCCCTGTTTTTCTTTTTCTACAGATGCAACTGTGCCAAGCATCTCATGAGGACACAATGAGACAGCAGCTCTGAGAAAAGAGATCGACAGGAAGCTAAATAAAGAGCAGAGCATCCATAGAGCTAATCTTTGTATGTTAAGGACCCCTTATATTTCATAGCAAGATATATCCTTCACAAAATTATTATTTTTGAAAAAAACTCTGAAGATCATGGAGGAAAAAAAAAAACAACTGATGGGAAGAATCTGATTTAGCTTCAAGCGCTCTAAGCTCTCCTAGGCTGATTCCTAGCACATGACCCCAAGAGCTCCGTTGATAGTTTCAATTAAAAAAAATATGTTGCACACCTAGTGTGACAGGCACTATGCTTAGAGCTAGAAATATACTGTGAATGAGATAAACATCTTGTCCTTGTTCAGATTAAATTCCAGTATAGGGGAAAAGACAATAAGTGTTCAAATCTCTAAGCATGATTATTGCAGATTTTGATGGGTGGTGTGAAGAAGATGAAGAGGATGATGAGTTAGTAACTGGGGAAGGTTTCTGTAAACAGGATGTCAGGATGTGTCACCTCCATGAAGGTTACATTTGAGCTTTTAACCTGAAGGACATGTACTATACTCTCATTCTTTTATTTCATCTGTGTGGATAGGAGAGCTTGATTATTTTTGTAAATGCTTGCACATTCCCAGCATATTGGGGTACTCCAATATCATCACACCTTCATCTTCCCTAAATGTCTACTCCAGTGTCAACACTTGGTGTTTCAGTACCAATGAGGAGAAATGAAATGTGGGCAAATCTTCCTTGATCTCAATAGAGTCCACTTTCCTGAGAAATAAGATGGTCTACTATACAATTCGGATCTCTACCTTAAGTCACCTTCATTGGGTGGTGGGACATCTGTGGTCGCTACCTATTTTAGCATCTTGTGACAAGAGCATCCCAATATTCCTTTGAAGGATCACCCTTCCCTGATTCTTGGTTGGTGGTGCTGATCCTAGCTCCTGGCTCCAGAAGTGGTCATGTGGGCCTGTTCTGGCCATAGGATGCACCCCACCCTGCTGGTCACAGTGATAGCTTCAGGAATGGCTATGTGATCCAGTATGAGCTAGTCAAAGCCATTGAGCATCAGCCCTGGCACTTTTGCTGGTATTGTCAAAAAAGAGAGGAGATCTTTTTACACTGGGATTGTTCAGGCAGTAGAATGTAAGTCTAGAAGTTCCAGGGGTCACCAGAAGAACTAGAAAACTAGTATAGATAAAGAAGAGCCTAGAAGAGAGTTGATAAAGTGAACACTCATAACATCATTTGAGCCCCTGGATCCATGCACGCATAAGTCAGATCTGTCCCCTGGACTTTTCAGTTATGTAAGCCAAAAAAATGCCTCTTTTAACAAGTTAGTTTGAATTCAGTTGCTGTCATCACTTTCAACTAAAAGAATACAATCAGAAAAAAAAAATACATTGGCACCTCCTATCTGTGTCTCTGAGGTCCATGGGGATGCCCACTTGCACCGTCTGTTTGCCAAAAGCAACAATCCATGATCTTTGGCACTGTCCATGGTACCACCCATATCCAGGCTTCATTCTTCTCTACAAGCCACAGTGGTCTCTGAATGCCAGCTTAAAATGTGAAAAACTAGATGTTGCAGCAACTTGCTTCACATAAATATGCCAGGTCTACGTGTGACTTGAATAACAGAGACCCATGACATTCCCCTCAGCTTGACCACATGCTCCAAAACAGTCAGCTGGGGCAACTAGGGAACTGATAACATCTTCATGTGTTCTAGCAAAGGAGTTTCAGGTGCCAAGGCCAACAGGTTGTGCCGCTAGGGGACACCCCAGTCATATTCACTGTCACAGACTGGCATTTTCATAGTCTACTGCGTTCTTTGGCTCAATGTAATAATCCTTCATTTCTGTTTCAAAGGGGGGCTGGAGCAATTGTTTACATTTTCAGAAATCCATCAAGGGCAAAATCATCACACATTCTAGGGATGGTGATCCATAAATAAGACTCTAAGCTTGGAAGGATCTTTGTTTGCCCTCCACCCAACATCTCCGGCCATGGTCCTCAGAGAGGGCAAGTCTAACATAATTCCTCATCCTCTTTATATAAGAATTGTTCAGTGAACTGTAGAGCTGACTGAAGAGGGAAAAAGACTTTTACCACATGAAGGTAATTTCAATGAAGTTATAACACCACACATCTTCTGTTTTGTGATTTTTTTTTTACAATTTTCATTTGTTATCAATTTCAAACATTCTGTCTCAATCAAGGTTCTTGACTGAGCAAAAAACTCAACTCTGACCATTTCAACCTAGATAGGAATTGTTAAAAAGGTATTGGGATTCACAGAATCTCCAGGGAGGCTACAGAACCAGATTTGGAGGCAAGGCAGTCAGAAACAATGCTTAACTGCAATGCAGAGCTAGTCCAGTGAAGATGTCACAGATGCCCCCACAGAAGTCTTGTTCCATGAGGCCTAATGCTGGACTCTGGATGCTGTTGCTGAGAAGTACTTCCCCTCCTGCCTCTGGAAAGGAGATGTGGCTGATTACTATGGCCACTCTCGATTCTACAGTCTCTGCCTTTCTTGGTCACTATCTTCTGATTCACGGTGTTGTATGAGTGTGACAAGTGTCAAAGCCTGGGTTATGTGTCTGCCCTTGCTGCAGGAAGGCTGTGAAAGTATCTGACATTTTCTCTCTCTATAGTAGGAGCTAAACTCTGTTTCTACACACAAATGAAAGGAATTCAGATGCTGAATGCCCTAAAAGAGTGATAAATGTCCCCTAAAAAATATGACTAGTTGAGGAAGAATGGGAGAAGGTGTAGTTATGAGAGAGAGCTTTGAGTTAGCCAAAGTCTCAGCACCTGAAATTTAATCTTTGTATTTTATGACCTGAATGGCAAAGGTCCTGGATGCCAGGTCCCAATCCATGTCACTACTAGATTGGAAACCTAGCCCTGGATTCTAACCCAACTGACAGGAAACTCTACTTCCTTTCCTGGTCCCTTGGATGGGACTGGATTTTCTTCCCATAAACTTGCAGTCTCACATTTAATCTGCTCAGCAGTCCTGAGTGGCCAGTTCTATTCTAGTCAAGATCCATCCCGCACAAGAGTTAGGTTCTAATGTCAGCAAATAAGGTGAAAATCATGTAGACCCAATGATTACCCACAATCCCCCTTTCTTTAGTTAAGCACCTGCTGAAGTCACTGGCTTGAATTAGGGGGTCATGTCACAGGAAAAATAATGTGTGCCTGTCAACACCAGAGTTCGATTTGGCACTGTGGTGGTCAAATGGAATCGGGGGCTTCAGAGGTGCCCCCACAGGGGTCCATGCAATGGTACAGGTTCATTGAGGGCAAGCATAGCCAGAATGAGCATGCGATTTACAGTTTAAATTCTTCTTTTTCTCTCTCTTTCTATTTCTTCACTGAGCTCACCCATGTGCTAGGTGAAACCACTTCTCTTCCTGACCTTCATCCCTCCACTCTCAGGAATAACTCTGGAGAGTAGGGACTCTATGTACTCAGGATGCTTGTCCTTCCCCACTAGCTTTGTATTGCCACTTCAAGGAGTGAAAAAAAAAAGCTCCTGGACTCTGCAGGCTTCTGGCAAGGTACACACTTCCCATCCCTCCATTGCACCAGTGCCCATGGTCTCCCCTCCACCATCTGCCTTGAGCCCACCAGGGTTCATCTCTTCACACCTTTTTGGTCTCATGGCCTTCGATTGCACCAAGGTGTTCAAGACTTTCAGGTCACCTATCCCTCCAGGGCCTGATCCCATGCTCTCCACAGAATTACAGACACCCCGCTCACCAGGTAGCACACACCAGCCCCCTCCCCGGCTCGACTTTACTCCACAGCACTTATCACGACCTGACCGACTGTATCTGTGGGATTTACAGATCTGTCTCCAACCACTACTAAAGAAGCTCTGCAAAGCCAGGTGGTTTTGCCCATTTCCTTCCCTGCTGCATTCACACCATCTAGGAAGAATGTGCCGCACATAATGGGCTTTTAATGAATGTATGTTAAATAAATGAACGACATGGAATTTCATGGCTAGTCACAATCTTTTCAATATATACTCGCCCATGCCAAGCACCCTTGGAAAGCCCCGTACCCCTGCCAGCCTCTCTTGCATAACCAGCCAGCCCAAGCCTGCACTGCCTATGCCATTTGCATCCATGTGGCATCAGGAGAATTGTACGCCCTGGACTCACTGACCAATAGCAGCCTCAGGCTTAGTAGTCTGCCTTGCGTGAAATATAAAACGGTATGACTCACACAGCTATGATCATACACTTGCTCCTCCAAAAACGGGCAAATGCCAAGTCCTGAACTTAATCTGTCTTTCAGGGCAAGCATTTCAGAGATTCATTTCTAAACTATAGTTACATGCAAAAGAAAAAAAAATGTTTCATAATAATAGGATCCATCAAATCTTGCCAGCCGAGATTCTTTGCTTGCTCCCCCAAATCGGGGGTCCAAAGGCAAGAGAAGGAAGTGCCAGGCCCCCACTGGTGAGCCTCCCCTTCTTAAAGCGAATGGTCTCACACTGAGGCTCTGAACCATCACTGGCGGTGGAGTCCATAGAGATCTTCCATCGCCATCTAGAGCTGCCCAAACTTTGCCAGGGCAGTGGGCGACGCTGCCTGACAGAACACATGCCTAACTCAGGACTGGAGGACTCCTCCCCCACCACGGATTCTAATTTTAAAAGCAGTTACAGAAAGAGGCAGGGAGGGAAGGAGCTGAGGGAGCCGCGAGGCTGGAAAGGGTAGCATGCTCACTTACCGGTAAATGATGCCCTTGCTCTGTAAGAAGAACAGACCGATGGCAATTTCTGCAGCGTAAAATCTGGAATTAGAAAAAAAAAAAAAGTGATGGAGAGATTCAAGGACACCATATGCCTGGCAAACCCTCAGAATTCAATACAATATTGAACCAGGCGTAGGGCATTAACATCCCACCACGGATGGTCAGCCACGTGTCTCATAAAACAACGTATGGGAGTGTAGATGTGTGGACAGAGTTGAGAGAGCCAGGAGGCTGCCTTAAGGACAAATCAGTGTGGGGACAGGGTTCAGTACTTGCTCAGTGGGGAGGAGGCCTTGGGCGGGGGAGGCCCAGGGAGGGGATGGACTGGGTGGAGAGTGACAATTTCTGTCTACGACAAATCCAGTATCTGAATAGTAACAGCTAAACTGTTGACGGCTTACTGTCTACATACCACCATTTTAGGTTATCAGCTGATTAAATTCTAATAACAGTTCTGTGAGGTAGGCCCTACGATTACCTCCCTCTTCCTTACGTGAGGAAATGGAGGCTTAGTGACAGAAAATAACTTGGCCAAGTTATATCGCTAATGAAAGGCACAACATCCGTCTAAAGGGTAAGCTCTTTTTATTCATTTTGAGAGTGAGGTGGGGAGAGGCAGAGAGAGAGAGCAAAAGAGAGCCCCAAGCAGGCTCCACACTGTCAGTGCAGATTCTAATACGGGGCTCAATCCCACAAACTGTGAGATCATGACCTGAGCCTGAAACCAAGAGCTGGACTGAGCCATCCAGGAGCCCCTAAAGTGTAACCTTTTAGTAAAGGCTGAGAAGAAAAGAGATCTTGAGAGAAGCAAAAAGTCCAGTTATACCACAGGGTTAGGCAGGGCTTTAGGGAACTATGTTAAGCTTCCTGACAATTTGTTCCGTGTGATAATGGGATTAGGGTCTGTGGTCAATTAGGCATTAGAAGGAGAGTAAGAGCCAACCCCCTGGTCTTATGGGAATTGCGACCAGATCTGGAAGCTCAAGAATGCAAACCCACCAGAATACTGTGCTCACAACCTTGGCAGGTAGGATGAGAGGGGGTAGAGCTGAACAGAACAGAAGCCAGAAAGCCATGGGAGTGACCAGATGGAGCCTTAGATTGAGCCCCGGGGGGCTTTGCAGAGGGACAATAAGATCTTAGCGAAATCCTCAGGAGAGGCTAATGCTACTAATCCTATGACTTGCTGTCCCTGTTCACCAACAGCAGGGGAGGAACATGATGAGATCCTGTTCTCAGAAGATTCTAGCTGCCTTGGGGACTGACAGGGACAGAATGGACCCAGCAGGGGAAACACAGTTCCAAAAAACCGAATCAGTCTCCCCACCCAGGAGCCACAGGGCACCGCCACAATGCAACTTGATTCCTCATCCTCTGGGAATGAGGGCAACTGAGAGAGCGGTGCAGGGCAGGGAACAAGAGTAAAAATCTGGGTCAGAATGTGGATCTGTCTCAAACTAGCTCTGTGATCTTGAGCAAGTTTCTACAAACTCTCTGGGCTCAGGCACATACTAAGCTCTTAACAAATACTGACAAATGAATAAACAAAACCTACAAGGATATCCCCCAAGGGATCTATGGGGCCTTTCCCTTAGGAGTCGGGGCAAAACATCAGAGATAAAAAAGAGCTGTGGTTTTCAAGCTTCAGGGTCTTAGCTGGTGGGGGGGGGGGGGGGGGGGGGGGGGGAGGAAGAAGGATCCCATATCAAGCAGAATAACTTTTTCCCCTGGCCATACATGTATCATGAAGCAGCTCAAGATGCTAACAATCCCATTTAGCTAAAAATCCAAGGGAACTAACATGCAAGGATCTCACAGGGGAAAAAAAAGCAGAGCACAAGTTTGTACTTACACAGCATGAGGCTCCTTAAACCGGCCAACTTGCTGGATGTGGTACATGAGGTCACCCCCATTCACATACTCCATCACAAAGTACAGGCGGTCCTGGGAGAGGAGAGCAAACAGCCACATCAGTATCCCGTATTTCTCACGTTCCAAATGGAGAGCAGGGAAGAGCTGGGGTTTATGATCAAAACGCCCAGAACTCTGTGACAAGCCCCTGTTTGCCAGGCCCATTATTTCCCCAGGTGGAGTGTTTGTGCCACTGGAAGTATGTAGCCGGGCACAGGCGGTACATGAATTTTTTAAAAAATTAATAACCACAATGTTATATTTGTTTGTACTAGAAAATGTAAATAGCAGATTAATATTATGACTTAACGGATACTACAGTTTAGGATAAAAGTTAATTGTAGTAAAGAGTGGAAAATAAATCCATGGATTATACTACAGATAAAAGGTAGCTGTGGGAACCAGCCTGCATGATGGCCCTCTGACTTTTGCCTCCTGGTACTCACGTCCTTCTGCAGCCTCTTTCTACAAGGAATAGAACTGACTTGCATAACCAGAAGAATGGTGTAGAAATGAGGACACATGGGTGGCTCAGTAGGTTAAGTGTCCCACTCTTGATTTTGGCTCAAGTCATGATCTCACGTTTCATGAGATTTAGCCCCGCATCAGACTCTGCGTTGACAGCGTGAAGCCTGCTTGAGGTTATCTCTCTCTCTCTCTCCAAATAAATAAATAAACATTTAAAAAAAAGAATACTGTAAAAATGACAGTGTATGATTTCCATGACTGGGTCACAAAAGATATTGCAGCTTCCATTTTGCTCTCTCTTGGATCATTTGTTTGGGGAAGTTGGCCACCGTGTCATGGAAATGCTCAAGCAGCACATGGGAAGGTACATTTGGCCAAGAACCAAGGCCTCCTGCCAATGGTCAGCACCAACTCCCCAGCCAAGGGAAGGAACCACCTTGGGAACAAAGCCTTCAGCCCCAGTCAAGCCTTCTGATGACTGCAGTCCAAGCTGATCACCTGCCTACAACTTTCATGTGAGACCCCAAAGCTGGAACCATCCAGGTTAGCCACTCGTGAGTTCCTGACCCCCAGAAACGGTGAGATAATAAATGTTTATCATGGTTTTAAGCCATTGAATATTGAGGTATTGTAACATAACTAACATAGTGATTATAGGAAAAAATGAATTCTTAGAATTTGAGTGGCCTCAGAGGGCATACCCAGAAGGAAAGGAATTTGAGCCAGAAAAAAGAAATTTATACTCCATTCAGGGATTCTTTAAACATGCCTTTCAAGGGAGATGTGAATGAACTCCCTCAGAGTCAGGGCTTGTGTTCTCTCAGCCATATAAGCCCCATTCCTGGTCCATAATTAGCACTTAGTAGGTGCCCAGAGAATGGTGTCAAACAGACTTGATTTGGAACCCAGTTCTTCTTCCTGATAGCTGGATGAGTTGGAAAGGTTATTAAACATCTGGATCTCCTCCCTGGAGATAATGATAAAGAATAATAATAGTAATAGCTGAACCACAGTGTTGTTGCAGGGACTCAGTGAGACGTGAGTGTCACGGTCCTTGAGAAGCACCTCCATGAGATATCTCCTTTTTCCTTGTATCAAGGGGTGTCTGCTAAATGAACGAACGACTTCCCCTCTTCTTAGAGACTTCCACTTGGGGCAGGTCACTCCTTGATGCCTACGTGATCAACTTCATAAAAAAAGAAAAGAGAATGGAGGGGCGCCTGGGTGGCTTAGTCGGTTGAGTGTCCAACTTCAGCTCAGGTCATGATCTCACAGTTCATGAGTTCCAGCCCCATGTCGGGCTCTGTGCTGACAGCTCGGAGCCTGGAGCCTGGAGCCTGCTTCAGATTCTGTGTCTCCCTCTATCTCTGCTCCTTCCCCATTCACGCTCTGTCTCTCTCTCAAAAATAAGTAATAAAATAAACATTAAAAAAAAAGAGAGAGAGAATGGAATGGAAATTACTGGGGCGCTCTGCACAGAGTACCCCTGGGTGTTATTTTGTGAAATGTGTGTTTTGGTTATATTTATAGGTTGGTATGGCTGGGTCTTCAGTGTCAAAAGAGGTTTGCTGTCGCCAAAAGTCACAAAGTTGTCGTGCAGGACTGTGACATGAGAGCCCATAGAAAACTAAGCTGACATACGCTAAGAGCTCTAACATGATGGTGATCCCATCACAAATGTTTCAGCCACTGTTAACAAAACCTTTCTTACGGCTCACACAAGTTTATTTTATACATTACAGTCATATATGCCTTTGCCCAATGTGTACTGAGTGTCTAATAACTGGAATGATAACTATTATAAAATAAAGCTGCCAGGGGGCCTGGGTGGCTCAGTCAGCTGAGCATCTGACTTCGGCTCAGGTCACGATCTAATGGTTCATGAGTTTGAGCCCCACGTCCGGCCCTGTGCTGACAGCGTGGAGGCTTGGATTCTGCTTTGAGTTCTGTGTCTCCCTCTCTCTCTCTCTGCTCCTCCCTCACTCACACTCTGTCTCTCTCTCTAAAAAATAAATAAACACTAAAACATTAAAAAAAAAAAAAGAAAGCTGCATCTTGTGAGCATTTATTATGTGACTTAGCCAACTGTCTTTACATATTTGTCTCACTTATCTCTCTAAACAATCCAACAGGACAGTATTACTGAGCTTCCCCTTTTAAAGATGTGAAAGTTCTGGGGTGCCTGGGTGGCTCAGTCGGTTGAGCGTCTGACTTTGGCTCAGGTCATGATCTCACGGTTTGTGGGTTTGAGCCCCGTGTCGGGCTCTGTGTTGACAGCCAGCTCAGAGCCTGGAGCCTGTTTCAGATTGTGTCTCCCTCTCTCTCTCTCTCCCCTGCTCACACTGTCTCTCTCTCTCTCAGAAATAAATTTTTTAAAAAATTAAAAAAAAATTAAGATGTGAAAGTTCAAGCCCTGAAAGGGTAAGTAACTTGCTGATGGTCAGTTACTCAGCTGTTCAGTGGCAGAGCCAGGATTTGAACCCAGGCAGGTCAGTTCCAGACCTTATCAGGCTGCTTCCATGTAAGGTTCTGAGCTAGACATTGTACGGATGTGTGCGTGTGTCCTCCCTTGTGAAAGCTTCCAGTCCAGGAGGGGCGAGAAAGGACCGAGAGATCCAGTCATACAATAAGGCAGAAGCTGGCAGGTCACAGGGCAGAAGTACAAGTTGACCAATTATTTTTGCAAAGTCAAGGGACTTTCTCTGACTGATACTACTTCACTCTCTCAGCATCTTTACTAAGGCAGAGAGAGAGGTAGAGTTATCACTTCTGTTTCTCGGTGTCCAAGGCATTTGAGACTTGCAGAAAAGGTCACATACAAGGTAGTGGCAGAGTGGAGACAGTCAGTCAGAACCGCCGACACCCAGCCCCTGGTTCTTTGGGTTTTTTTTTTTTTTTTTTTGATAGAAAACAAGCCTTAAAAATAGCATCTGTCTTTGCTGCACGTTGAAGGGAACCAAAACACTTGCTTTTAAAAATTATTTTTAAAACTAGCAGATGGCATTGGCCACAGAGAGAAAAGTAAGTGAAGGAGAGATTTCACTTGCTTGCTTTCAGCTTGGAAGAACTCAGCTTGCCCCCCAAACTCATTAGTTAGAATCCCAACATCAAGGAGAGCTCCACTTGTAGATAATGCCACGTTTTGTGGTTTGTTTCTGCCATGAACCGTATGTGGGAAAATCCTGAGATCCATCATCTTTGAACTGCACTGAGTCTGGCTTTGGCACACCAGTACTTCACATATTGAAAGTGTGGCTGGCACCCTGCTCTCCCTCTGTTTCCCGAACGAACGCTTAATGATGCCCACCCTAGGCCAGGCATTATTCTACTGCCAGGGAGGCTGCTGGGAATAATCCAGGTTGCCTGATGTTAAGGAATACCCAGATGAGTGGGGAAACCAGATAAATTTCTAAACAGCAATGTTTCCCAAAATGTGGTGGGAGATGATTTTAGGTGGGCTATGGATGCATAAGGCTTTACCTTTACAGTTTTGTGTTTATTTTAATGCATATTTTGGAAAATAGAACTAGCCCTGCAAGCCCCTGATTTTGTGGCTATTATTGCTGAGGAGGACAGCAGAGTGCATAGAGTTACAAAGGACAAAGGAGCGAGGCAAGGCTAGGACCAGATTATGATAAACTGCATGAGGCCATCAACTTCAAACTTTGGTTGTCTCCCACACGGGTTCCAAGATTTTACCATGTTTATCCACCTCATCCACTAAAACCTACTTATTTTAAACATATTTCCATTAAAATATATTTTACTTTTTTACTGAAACACATTATTTAACAATTTTACAACTTCATACGAAAGTCCTAAGTGGAAATTCATTGTCTCTGTAAAAAAAAAAAAAAAAATGTGTACCTGGAGTCTATCAACTCTATGCTATATCCAGCCTGGCTTCGCGCCATCGGTCCCTCAACTGACTTATTTTTAAAACAAATGCAATTTGTCCATGTCCCACCAAGTTCATCTGGCACTCCAAGGTAAGGAACATCCAATTTGAAAAACACTGCCAGGGGCAATCTTGAGCCAATCTTGAGCAGCGAGGTGCATTTTAGAACCTTCCTCGAGCATTTATTTTTGCAAGTCATGTATTAGGTGTTAAAGGGGTAAACAATGATGAATAGCATATGGGCCTTGCCCTCAGAGAATTCAGAGTCTTCGTGAAAAGAGATATGTAACCAACTCGAGCCAGAATCTAAAATAAAACGTGATAAGAGAAATTGCGTGACAAGCATGAAGAGGAAGCTCTGGGGGCGTCAGCTAACTAAGTGGTCCTCACCCACTGCCTCCGATTCTTACATAATTATCCCCCCCCAACATAGTGCCCTGAGATCTGACTTTGCTCCCCACTCTTCTGATAAATCATTTCAAGGCCTTGAAAGATCTTTCTTCTGGTCACATGAAGTGGTTCTTGATTAGGACCTCTTGTCTTTACTCGTGAAAATCAGAAAGTACATGTTGGGTATTGAGCCCCCCTAATTGCTCAAGTTTCCAGCGAGGACTTGTCACAGCTCAAGCCTTCAGCCTTCATCTCTCCTGGCTGATGAGTCTTGACT